GGCATGCAGCTATTACACTAAGTGTATTCTAAGTTCTGAACTAGGAAAATGCTTTACAAAGCACGCTGCTTTACAGTAGTCTTTGTCCAGTACACTTGTACGTCACTTGAGCCGTAGATTGGTCAGCGGTGACATGATCACATGACTGATTGGAGATATCCCATTGGTTGCTAGAACTAGTAAGAGCTAGAACTCATTACGCGGTGTTTACTAGGTAAACATAGAAATCTTTTCAAAGGAAGATCACTACTTTTCCTGGAACTAAATACTTAGATACTAAAGTATCTAAGTTTCTGCTTATTGAAAAAAACATCGTAATATTTGGTACGCTAACAATTACTGCCTTATCATTTTTAATGCGATTTTGTCTTTGTCAAAGAGGTAAAGGAAAGCGCAATAAAGTCAAAATAATTATCAATAAAGTACTAAGACAAACTTTAAACGTAAAAAAAAAAAATTTATAAAGGTAAAGAGAGGATGCATTTGACAAAAAATAAGACTTTACGATTCACTTCTCTCTGATTGGTGGGAAATAGCGGTAAACTAGTGTGAGCTGCGTCCGTGTTTCTAAAGAAACAGTTGTGTAAAAAGAAAAATTTAACACCGAAAAAAAAGTATGTGAAATAGTGACGTTTAGTGACGTTTTGGACGTTAATCCGTAGTGCAACCTTACCTTTGTAATATCCTTTGAACCGCGGACGATCAACGGTCAAGAATACAAAACAGCTTATAATTATCAGATGAACATAATACAATCATTGATTTAAGGTAATTTCTAAACTGAGATTCGCCAGCAGCAGCTATAGAAACTGCATGTTAATGACAGTTACAAAGTAGCAGGTTTCACTAGGTTCCACCATTTATATAAAAAAGCCATACTTGTTACTTACATGAGAGGCACTTTGTAAGTAATTGCTCAAGATCGCACGACTTTAGACAAAGGAGATAAAGGATTTTGTATACTCATTTTGCACCTTATTACACCTATAGTGAATGCAGTCGGTTCTACTGTCATAACAGATCTGATGTCCTACAATAGAAAAAAAAATACTAAAAAGGTAAGCTCTTGTTTCATTTTATCAATATATGTCTATACACCTTTTTAAATAAAGGTTGAGTCAGAGAGAATATTTGTGATTGACCACAGCGCCAACCGAGAGGAGCTATAGCTTCAACTTTGGTCTCTTTAGACCAACCTTGTACTTTTTGACTATCATTAAATTCTTCACTGATACTTATCTTTTCCATTCAAAAKGACATTTTTATATGGATATTGGATATTCACATGCGATTTCCATTACATGTAAAAAGTGAGATTTATCAAAGATCGAACTAAGCAGAGAAGGAGCAGCAGAAAGCATRAACGGGATATTTCATTTGTCATAATTCTGCTTTCTCTCCTGTTTTCTCCAGAATTCCCCCTCCATTTGCTGTTCAAATTCTACAAATTCTACGGCGTTAGCGCCTTACACACGAGGAGATTTTCTTTCATGTATTTGTCGTTAATTTAATGTTGTAATCTTCATTCGTTGTCTTACTTTCAGGCAACACCGCATATGGCACAATGATGTACAAACCTACACTTGTGATTCTGTCAATTGCTGTTGGTGCTAGCATCCTTGCATTGAGCCTGAAATTTAAACTTTACGATTGTGCATCGCAACCATCATATCGCGCAACTAGAGAAACCGCAAACCATACTTCATTCCCTTACCCTGCAGTTATTCCTTCGCAAGCTCCTTGCCCTTCCGTCTCTTGCCCTTCACCACCGCCTTGCCCTGAAGTAGCTCCTGCCCCAGTCCCTTGCCCTTCACCAGCGCCTTGCCCTGAAGTAGCTCCATCCCCAGTCCCTTATATTGAAACAAAGAGAGAGATTGCCAAAAAATTGGCTGAGATTTACCTCCAGTTAAAGAACGATGTCAGCCATAGCAAACCACCCACACCAAAGACGCTTGTTGAACTCAAAGGCATAATTGGAGAACTTGATCCAGCACATAAACTCAGCTATGAAGAAAGAGAGCCAGCAGATCCAAAAAACTCATCTGTAATGCAGGATGTGTGCCCAGAGAAGTACCTGGGTCCAGAATATGACAAGCCGTTCTATCGCAAAGGATGGGAAATCCAAAATTGCACAAATGTGAAACCATTGAACCAGGTTCGTAATGTACTGGAATGAAACTTATTTATAAATATAGTTGCTTCGACAAATACAGCCTTTTGCAAAAATTATGAGAATTGTCTAAATATCTAAATATCATAATATCCATATCCATATATTGTCCGGAACACGCGGGTTTGATAGAATAATTCATTGTTGACATTGAGAAAATGTTCAGAACTACGGATAAGTCTGTCGCCAAAAAAACTAAACAACAAAGACAAGGGACTAAGGCCATCGCGCGGGATCATGCACTTGATATTATGATATTTAGATATTTCAACAATTCTCATAATTTTTGCAAAAGGCTGTATTTATCGATATATTATTTTCGATGTATTTCAATATTGTCATTTTATTTGCTCTCATTTAAAGGTCGTTAGCATTGTTCTTAATACAATGGCGTATCCTCAATCAATGGAGAAGCAAGTCGAAACAGTGTTAAAAGGCATCAAYCAAACTTATCCACAAGTCAAAGTGCTCTTAGCAGCCAAAACAAACCAAATGGAAAAAGTTGCTAARAAGTACCCAAATGTCAAAACTGTTGCTGTCAGTAAAGACAGYTCTTTWGGTAAAGTGTGGAACCARCTTATCAATGARGTCTCAACTCCCTACACACTTGTTGCACGYGATGTTGTTCATTTTACTTGGGTKRYACGWRTTGAACGACAAATTCGCATGATAAGTACAACAGACCATGTTGCAATAGTTGGAGGATCATTCCGTAGGCTTACTGGACATTGGCGAGTTGGATGTCGACAAACTAAACTATTTAACTATGTATTACAGTATGAAGAAGGTTACCACTACTCAAGACATTCATGCATGTTTTGTGAYGACTTGGAAGGGCCATTCGTTGCCCAAACTAGTCTTCTGAAAGATCTGAAATTCAGTGAAAAGTATAGCAAAGAAATCTTGTTTGAAGAATTCTTTCTTCGTGTTTTTCAATCTGGAAACTTGATAATGAACTGCCCTGATGCAATGTATTTCACAACAGACTACTCTACGAAAASTAAGCAAAACAGCAAATCAATATGGCGGCCTCTTGCAACAGACTTRAAGTTRGTACGRGTKGTTATGWKTGATTACGGGGTCAGACATAAGTTTTCTTGTGGAGAAATCTCATACGATTGTGGGGATACCTGGAAAATAACAAGACACAAAGCTCTTCCTATGTGCTGTTTGGAGCAATTTGGAAATGCCATGAAATTTTTCCACGATTTATCCGTAAAAAATAACCTTCATTAYGAACTTGATTCWGGTTCAAATCTGGCATGTGTAAAATTCAACAACTACAACCCATTTGACATCGATGGGGACATGTTTGTATCTGTTAATAACTTATCTTTTATAAACTCCCAATCTGGTCTTGCAAAAGAGAATGGGTTTAAAGTGACTGGTTACTCACCGGGAAATAGATTAGATTTTCAYTCYCCTGAYATTAATATCGAGRTTGCRGGACAAGAATTATTGTCATCTGACCTGTTTTCTCCTCCRGAGTTRAACAAACCWTCWCATTACACAAARAGCCGYGTGAATAATCACTGGATCAATGTTCCTCATAATCCAGCCCTATATTCACGAAATCGTTATGGTTCTGACGTTTTGAAGCACAGCCAAAGTTGGAGAATGGTTGGTGGCACAGGCGGTTTTCACACATACAAGCCAGGGTCTTTCAACACGTGTAATGATCCACTATTTCATTCTTGTCTAGATAAATTTCCCGCCGATGGTAACATTGCTTTYAAAGTCTTATAAGTCGCTGTAATGATGGCCCAATTATGCCGATATTCTGGCTAATTATTTGCCGTTCTTTTTTGGGAGTATGCTAGAGGGTGTACCTACTGGAAAGGTGTGGCCAGGAGTCAGGTTTTTTTTTACATTTACGCACCTCTACTTACACACTACTTGGTTGCTATAAGGGTAGATATTTAATCATAATTTCCATGTGCCTTGTGAAATTGTCAGATGCATATAGATGTTCGCCCTACCGAGTGACGAAACCCTCCATTCGTAGAATTCAGCCTACGGGGCTCGCATAGAGATAAAAGACCCGCGTATAAGATAGAACCTTAATTTTCCAATTCAGCTTGCAATTCAACAGGCTCTTATAATTAATTGTGCTTGAATTGAAATCAGGCTAAAATKCTTCTTATTTGAAGGGTGATTAAACTTTCAAACGGACAGGTTCTGCAGTTAGATAATCCAACGTGGCGTTTACTGATAYTTCAGGCGCGTAGCGCTCTTTACGCATATACGCACGTGCGTACTAGTGGCAACAAAATATTTAATTTTTATCAAAAATTATTGAAAAATTCACTTAAAATTGCATTTCCATGAGTTATTATTTCAAAATTTGCTTGGGGAGTTCTAGACTCCCTTAATACTCCCGCCTTTGTCGGTCGTTAGACCCCCAGATCCAAAATGTGTCGCGGTCCCTGACATGTGCGTACTAGCCAAAAAGTCCACGCTACGCGCCTGTATAGTATTTTCTTGCCCGTAAAATTACCTGGTGTAGTGTATAAACATCTTAGGTATCTTTATGTATCATGTACATGATAACTGTAGGGTACTGTGGTTAGTGGTTAGAACGTTGTTATCTTGTAAGGAAACCATGTTATGTACACACCCTATATAAACACACCATTTATATTGGCATGTATTTTTGTATTTAATAGTTAAATTCATTCATTGTATTAGAGTGGAAGTGACTCAATAAATGTTTCAACTAAAGAACGTTGTAATACGTTAAACCTAGCAACAGACAAAATGATTATAATAACAACACTTTATTTTTTTTTCGCAGTCGGCAGAGCTTTTTAAAATTCCAATATTACAGTCTCTTTTGAAGTTGGGACTGCGTGACTAGATCTCGGAACTGGAGACCAAATCAGTTTTACGAATTAATTCCCTTTAATTCACACACACACACAGTTAATTCATTAAACGTTTCAAGTTGTAGACATAAAGTTACTTGCAAATACCTCATATCTTTAAA